CTTAACTAGAATAGGAAGAAAAAGAAAACAAAACAAAAAATTGGAAGAAGCGAAAATTTAGAGTTAACCCGTTTAAAATTGGTACGACTGAAATTCAACGGTATGGTGAACTCTATCCTTGAGAGGATGGAAATGCTTCCAGATGCAATTGGGGTGTGTGTTATGTTCTGGGTCACCTGACGAAGGACTGCTGTGACCAATGTGTGTTTTGGCTGTGTTAGTGCATCCCCTTGTGATAGTAGAAATCCTGATCCTACAGTGGTATCAATTGGATAACAAATTCACCCGTTCAATCTCAAAAAAAAATTCTAAAACTTTAATAACTTTAATTTGATGATTGTGTTGGAGCAAATTGGAGATACCCGCTGAGGGGTTACGGATGTCTCGATTTGACTAAAAATTTATAAAAAATTCTAGTATGTGAATTAGAAGGAAATTGGTAGATGAGTATAGTTTTAGAACTAGATGTGATATAATAATAATGTGAGATATGAGTGGTTACAATTAGAGAATTAAGAAATAAAAGAAATTAGGAGGATAATGAGAAAATAATGAGAAAGAGGAATTTTGAGAGATAACTAGTAAATGAGAATAGTGAAGGGAAAAGAGTAGATAAAAATAAAATTATGATGAACAATGAGAGATGAGATACGAAATGAAATATCTTTATATTTCATGGTTTTCAAATATAAAGAAAATGAAGAGTTTTACATTTCTAATTGACTGTATGTGGGTATGTCGCATGTTTAGGGTATAGTCAATTCGATATACTTATTGAGTCTGTTATTTTGTTCATTCCATTCAAATTCTAATTTTTTTCAGATAAGATCGTTGGAGATAATTTATATAGTCAAAATTGGAATTTCATGTTTAGTTTTCATCTGGTAAGTTTTAGTTTAGTTGTGGACTCTATAGTTTTTAATAACCTCATAATGTAAATTATGTTACATGTTGTACATAGGATGAATAGCTTCTGTTGTATTTTTATGTTGAAATTTTATATTATATCTTCTGATTCAGTTGTGTTTGGTGGCGTAGTTTCTCGTTGGAGAATTGCAGGTCGTCACATTATGTCACTTTAATTTCATGTTCACAATTTTCAGTGAATAATATAAATATTTCCCAAGAAGTTTTATTATTAGATGATTTTCAGATTTTGTTCCATTAGTTATAATTTGAATTATTTATAAAAAAAAAAAAAGCAAATTAATCTTTTCATTAATGTGCATCCGAAAAATAATTATGTTATTTTTTTCAATCACATTTTTATTTCAATCAAAAGACTAATAAGAAACCATTAAACAATAAATTAGATTTCACATCAAAGCTTTATCCCAAAAAACAAATTTGATTTTATCACAAATCCATATTTGATTTCCAAAATCAAGAGTTGAAATAAAACTTATTCATGCATTATGAAATTTCAGTACAAACACATCACAAAAATTTCAAACAACATTATAAATTGAATCAAAATACCATTTTCTGAATCCAGCAACGACCATTAATAGTCTGCAAAATTTCAATCAACATTTTCTCAATCCATCACAAAAGGGGGAAGAAATTTCCCACTAGATTTCAAATTTGGACATTGACAGTCTGAAAATTTTCAGTCCCAAAAAGCCTCCATTCTCTGATCTCTCCCTCTCTCTGTTTCGCTTTCATTTTCCTGTTTCTCTGTTATTCAATTTTCAGTCTTTCTTTTCTAGCTGAAATCATCATCGTACTGCGAATTCCCTCTGCTCAAACTCTCCTTTATGCCACCGCCGAGGTGCGATCTCCACTTGCTCAGCATTATCATCACCGTTATTCATCGTCATCAAACGCTTTTAACATAGTTCATATGCATGCCACCACGTCTTTTTATTTTCTGACATCTTCCAAATCACCATCGCCATGCCGAAACTCTCTTCTTCTTCTTTAACGCGAACCCTCATTACTTGGTTTTTTGTGATGAAAAATCATCTCTTTCCTCTAAACGGCATCGTTTGGTCATGGGTTGATGGGCTTTTTTTTTTTTGCGGTTTTCACTTGGAGTGGGTTTTGGATTAATTTGTTCTAAAAAAAAGGGATAGGGCTTTTAGGGTTTAAAATGGTAGAGAACTGTTTAATTTTAATTTTAAAATGAGTAATATTTGAGTCACGGAATCCTTCACACAAATCTTTTCTTCTTACAGTGATTTTACTCCATTTGTTCGTACTTTTAATATCAAATAAATTCATTACGTATAAATTAGTTAATAATATTGGGATCGAATGAAAGAACGTGACCGTTTCTTAAGTATTAAATAACACGTCTCGTAAATTTGATTTCTACACTTTAAAATTATGGTATTTCCATAATTTTGAATATAAATTTAAAATTAACAAATAATATTTAGGGTGTTGATGTTGGTGTTGGGCTTATACTTTTCAAATTTTTGGAAAAAAATTAATTCCATTTTGAAATTTTTTAATTGATGAACAACTCAGGGAGTTCTCCCTTTTCCAAACTACAAAATAATAATAATAATAATAATTTTATTTTTTTATTTGAAAATACACAAAATACATTTTTCAAATTAGAAAGTCAAAGTAGAGTAGCCACAAATTTTGTAACCCAATTTGGACGTAACGTCCATAAGCTCTTTACACACCTTCATAATTAAACACTCTTCATTGGAGCTTTCAATTATTCATAAACCTTCAAATTAAGAAAAAAGGTCAAACCAAGAAATTAATATTAATTTGCATGTGATCATGTTTTGATGCTCAAACAAAAATGTCTACTTACAAATTTGTAATTTATTATTCTCATGGTCGCATGTCCAGGGTCCAATCAGAAGACGATGGAAGACGTGATATATATATATGTCACATATAATAATCATTCTTATGATACTAGAAGCAACTAGCAGTTAATTAATTTGAATAATGTATTTTTAGAGTCATGTTGTTCTGAACTTCAAATTTAATGGGCACGTGCATGTGACATAAAAGAAGAAGGATTAGACTTCACGTGAGCATTTTTTCCCAAGACACTATATGCATGGATACACATAGTAGTATAATATCCAGTAGCATAAAATAATGAAGAACTATAGAGTCGAGTGAGCTTGGAGTTGATTGAGAGAAAGAGATTAACTAAGGAGTATATGATGATTTATCTTCTGATTTTAGATTTTTTTCTACAAATTCTCAAGAGTCCCATGGAAAGTTTGCATGCATGCATGCATTTATGGTACGGAAAAAATAATTAAACGTTACTCTTTTGTTCAAATATTTTGAATATTATCACAATAGGAGAATTCAAATTGAGTTTAAATCTCTATGTTGTCTTCAAACGAAAAAAAAAGGTTTTTGATTTACCTTTCAAAGACTTGTAGTTTGGTAGTGGAACTTGATCAGATTCTATGCACATAACATCCTGCACAAGGATCTCATAGTGCTTCTTCACCTCTTCCACAGATTTTGATCCCCCGATTGCATTGGCCACCTTTTGCCAACGATCTGGAGTATCCTTGTCGTACACCGCCAATGCCTTTTCGAACCTTTTGTTCTCCTTAGCTGTCCAAGGAGAGCTTGTTGCCATTACCTGCAACTAGTTAGCTAACTAGTAAAAACACAAAAGCAAAGAAAGGTAGGAAAGGCAATGGCTCCTCCTTCTGGGAAGAAGAATATATAGTGTTTGCAAGTTGGGGAATATATTAATCACAAAGGGTCTTTTTGCTAGAAAGCAAGCATTGACTATACACAAGCTACAGATTTGATTTGAGAATTTTCTTCATAATTCTTTTATTTATTTCTTGCATGAATGATATGGTTTTAACTAAAACAGTAAAAAAAATTATTTTAATACACAAGAATTAGCGTAAATATTTTTTGGATAAATTTAAATATTTATTAATTAGATAATACACATACACTAATTATAATACGAAAAATAATTATATAAAATACAATTTGACTCAAACTCAAAATTTTATACAGTAAAATAAATACACGAATCATTCTATTAAGCAGTTATTAATTATTACTGAATCAAAAATAAGATAAGAGTTGATGAATATATTTTTACTTAAGATGGTTACAAAAGGTTCGGAAAGAGGAGAATGAATGGTGAATAGTAAAAATCTTTTTGTTGTTTTTATAGTATCATGAGCAAGTGGATTTGTATGAGGGATTAGATCCCCTTGTAGATGCGCTAACCATTTCAATTCTTCTAACATTCCAAACCCACAAAATATATAGTAAGATACTTTTGTCTTATTTTATATCTAAGTGGGACTTTGGATCTTCTCTTCTCCCCCTTATTTACCCAACTTGGCTCATATTCTCTTTTTTGTACTGTCTCCATGATTATCATTCCCTACTCACAATGAGTATTATATATATATATATATATGTATATGTAATATATACCATAAAGAGTTGTCTTGTTAACTTTTGCACACCCAACTAACAAAGTTTGGTTACTTTTTAATAATCTTGACATGTTATTACATAATTCTATTCTGTGGTATAATGCGATGTAAGCAAATATATGGTTGAGAGAATATAATCATAATACCAACTACTAAAGCAAAGTTAATAGCAAAAACAAATAAGCTAATAATTTTTTTATTACAAAAATCTTTTACATAACATGCATGTTTTAAGTAATCTTTCTCATTCATAATGTGATTTCTCTCTCTCTCTCTAGATATATATATATATATATGTTGAAGATTAAATTTTATATATGTTAGTGCTTGGTTGGTTTTTGGAATTACTTGGAAATAGCGTTTCTATTATCTTCTGGATTTAGAGCCTCATTGATTAATTCTTGGCTTTTTACTTCCTTCCACGTTAAAACCTTGGGATTGCCACATTGTCTTTTACTATTGTTATTTATGTCTCTACTTAAAACAAAACTTATGGGAATTATTAGTAGTAGACCATTTTCTAAACAAGAATAGAAATATTTATTTATTTCTATAACTATAAATCATTCTTAGGTTCAACTATTGTTAAAGAAAAAATTAACCATAGAAATTATTTAATTACTATTAAATATATAAAAATTTGTATTTCTATATTGTTCTAACATAAATATATATGTTTTGGACTTACAAGTTTTTACTTTTAATTAAAATCTTAAGAATTCTAAAATTGTTGAGCTTAAATTTTAATACTAAAAAGGTAAGCTAGCATATAGATTTTTGTTGAAGTCATAACAGTCGAAAATTATTAGAATTATGTGATCTGAAGGAGTTAAAACGAAAATCTAAATAACAAATTTGACAATTAAATATGATTTAAAAAATTTTAAGTACTCCAATTATCTTTATTAAAAATCAACCCTCTATTCATAATTAATATCAACTGATTAATTTCTATTTATAGATCTTATCACATTCTAATATATGTCGATACAAGCAAAGTACACATCATATAAAAAAATAAAATAAAATATTTATTATAGTTATTATATATTTAAATATAATTAAAGTAAATTCTCTAAAATATCATTAAAAAAATATATGGGAATAACCAACCCTTTTTGGTGAAAGAAGGTAATCTAAACTCCAAAAACAAAAAGAAGGAAGGTAATATAAATATTCATTGACTGATTGATTGGTTCTTTGACCTCTCTATGAATGTGTAATTTAAATTCAATTATACATTATATATATATATATTTATTAAAATATCTTATTGATGTATATTTTATATATATTTAATTATTAAAATATATGAATTTTTATTCAAAATATTTATAAACCATATTTCATACATATACGAAAATTAAACTTTTTTTTTTCTGCTCAAAATCAAGCTATAGGGTGGGATATTAGTGGCGAGTATATAAAAAATTAACAATTTATACTGTTACCTAAAATAATAATATAAGCTTCATTCTCTATACGTCTTTGTTGAGATATTAATTACATTAAGTACTATTTACTTATTAAAATATATAAATTTTTATTAATCATATATTCCTACTCATCTTTTTCATTTTGATGGAAATCAAGGTGTGAGGTAGGGCCCAAACTAAGCCCATTATTGTTTAAAAAGTAAAGGCCATTTTTCTTCTATGCTACACCCAACCGCACCGAATCAACTTCTCCTTCTTCTCCAATCTTCTACGCTACCCCTGTATTTTTTTTATTTTTATTTTTTTCCTTCTTTTACCGCCTCCCCTTTACGGCCATGCAGGAGGCAAAACACCTCATCATCTCTCTTGAATTTCACAGTAACAGCACCTGTCGCCTTCAATGGACGCCACATTTGCTTCTCTACGTACCCAGTTACAAGGAACCCTCAAGGCACCAGTAATTCACCCTCCCTCTCTTCTCTTTAACGACTGAGACAGACTCCTTCCTGTCCCTATGCATCCTGCGTATGAGCTTCTCCTTCCAACCTCCACTACCCAGAAAACCCTAAATGATCTTTTTTCACTTGTTCCTTTTCATCTTGGTTTAAGCCATTGTGTGTAAGATGCTTGATAAATGACTGATTGAGAGTCGGTTGCTTAATTTTCTGGTGGGTGTTTGCAAATGTATTAAAAGAAGAAAGAAAAGATTTGAAACAGGCTTGAGCTTTGAATATTTTAGGAATTAATGTTTCACATTGTCATCAAAGTTGATAATTATACATTGATATCTTTTTATTATGTATTAAATGTTAATCAAGTGACATATATCAATCCAATTAGAGGCCTATCGTTTCACCCAACTTTGAGAGAATTGATCTCAGGATGGATGCCTGAGATGTTTTTATTTATTTATTTATTTTCTCTTGACCATATTTCTGTTAGAATATTTCATGTCATGTTTTTTTTTTTTTTTTTGACTAGTTGATTACTTATATGTGTTTATAAGCAAATTGTGTTTTGGGTATTAAAGATTAACATCTCTAATTTGACAGATAATAACCAAATAACTTAGATTAGATCTTAATATATATAGCCGAGAACTGATACATGTCAGTTTTTTTTTTTTTTTTTAAAAAAAATAAAAAATAAATTTATGTTTAATATGATAATGTATATAATAATTATTTATTTATTTTTATCATATAAAAATAAATTTTTAAATATATTAAAATAAAATTAATGTAATATTATAAAAAAAATTATTTATTTATTTAATCTTATAATTTAATAATATTATATTTATTTATTTTATGTGATAATATATAATAATTATTTATTTAAATATTTTAAATATAAAAATAAAATGTTAGTATGAATATATTTTTATGTGATTTACTTTTAATTAGTTTTAAAGTCAAAAATTATAAAATGTATAAGCTCTTGTTTACATATTTTATTCATCATATAAATTTTTCGCTAAAAACTAATGTATAATAATTTTTTATATTTTATTTCTATATAATTTTATTCACATAAAAGAAGTAAGTGGCTCTAACATTAGTTCTCCATGCATAATCTAGACCCTTAAACACTCTTTTCAAACTCTAGATTACCATTTATTCAAAATATACGGATTTAAGTTAATGATGATTTTGTTTGTAAGGAGTTTACTTTTTGATAGAAATATGTTGTCTTTATGATTATTTATAACTTGATTATTTAACTTTCTATTATAAATTGTATGCATTAACTCCCTATAATTATATATGAGTAACAACATAAGGAGTGAAGATAGAGAAAAATAACAGGAATATGTCGGACAATTCTCAGCATAATTTGTTAAGATGAGATATCTTTAATTTATAAAGTTTTACAACGAACTAAAGTTTTACAAGTT